TCTTGTCTTATTTTCGATGAACAAATAAAAGATCTTTAGATCTCTAAAGAATCTTAGAACCTCTAAACATCATATGATTAGATGTCTATAACATATATAGCCACAGTATAAGTTAGAGATCAAACGTTGGGATTTCACAAGACCAACCATGTGAGGCTTGATACATCATCCTTGGCAACAATTGTCTGTAAGGATCACACTCTCTTTTCATTTTTAAGTATGCAATGCATTGTTCGACCTCAGACTTTGCTTGCAAGTAAACCTCTTGTGCCTTTTCTTTGTCTTTCAGCTCCTTCTCCTTACCTGCCATGGAAAAAAAACCCCGCCATTATTGCAAGTAATGAGGTCAGTGATTTGAAGTAGAGAGCATACACTTAGATTATATAGATACCTGCTAAGTCTATTGGTTTGCCAAAGTAATAGTAGAACCGCCCTGGAATTTTAGGTACAAGTCCTGGGATATAGCAATCTTGGTTTCCCAATTCGCTTTCGTCTCCTTCCCTGACAATTATGACGTTCAAAATCACATATGTGTTTATAAATGAGAATATATATAGTGTGATCAAACATAAAACACCTTAGGTTGCCAGCGTCCTTTGTTGCTTTTTCCATTAAATATTTTAGGATAGGGATGTTCCTTTGATCATTGGAGTCCAATACAATCTGAAAATCAGCCAATGTCTCAAGCCAAAGTTACTCGAAACCGAGGTTCGCTGAACGCACATTTAAGATGTTGAATAACGCAACAATCTTGGTAAAGGCCGAGAATCTCGAGTAAGTAGAAATTTGAATGGGGTTAATAATGCATATGTGATAAATAGTTACATGAAGGAAATGAAATAGTGTAGATCTTAATATTTGTGTAGAGAATACTTACGTTAAAGATGTCGTCTTCTCCAACAACACCGAAAGGAACGATTTTCGCTCCAAATTTAGATGCAACTCTCACAAACTCGGATTGTTCTGGCCAAAACAGCTTGTATTCTTCACCCTGTGAAGTCTCTCTTTACATGTTAACCTCCAAAACACTAATATCCAAAATTGTAGAAACCGAAAAAGGTCACCACGCAACAATATATTAATTATAACATAACCTTTCTATGCAAAGCTTCGCGGACACCTCCAGGATACAAAAGCACATGAGCCTTTTCACGCAGTAGTTTGTAGAAATTCATATTGGAGACAGGTACTCCACCCATTAACTTATATTTGTCAAACATCTTCGGGTCGACTAACGAGTCTTGGATATACATAAATACCATCGGATGTGTCAAACCACGCATGTGAATATTCCTCTCTTTTAAGAGTAGACCTACCATTGGAGCCAACTCAAACCCCAATATCATGTGATATCCAACGTACACAACCGGCCCTTGCGAAGGTAATCCTTCGAGGCTCCTGACAATTGTACCGTCTTCTAGAGTTGATAGCATTACAGGTGAAATAGCATCCATTAGCAATCTGCACGGCGGAATATTCCATTCAGTATTTACTATAACCTTTTATTTCTTTTGCTATATACATATAGAAAAACTAAGATATAGCAATTAGTAAGGCATTTACCGGTGCTCGTCTAATAGTTGTTGTAACTCAAAAGGGGTAGGTTTAATGTAATCCGAAACGTAATCATGTGACTTCCCACGGCGATAAAAACAAGTAAGCTTGATGATAGTAGCCAGATCTAAGCTGTCCTCCTAACATGAGATGTAAAAGAGAGATAATTGAAGTGTAGGATATATAGAGATTTCAAGAACCTATTTAATAGTAGTATCAATATTAAACCCTAAGTATTGGATGAAGAGAGATCACTTACCAAAAGAGGAAACTGTCCATTGTCATCAAGCTTACGTACAATACAATTTGGCAACGTTCGCGAGTATCTGACAATGTCTTCCTCATTAAGCAGCCATTGATCACGTCCACTGAGATAGTCATAATCACATTACACTTATGCTCCAAGCTATAACATCTCTTTGAAAAAAGTAAAAGAGATTCATAATTTCTAAAACAAAGAAAATTATTGGACCTTGGAAGTATCAGTGTTTCAGCTTTAACTGAGTATATGTGAGAATTTACAGAAGCAATAGCAGACTTTAGCATTTCAAGCTTCCAAAGGAGTGTGTCCTTAGAGAACATCCTACTCAGAGTCTACAAATATAATTTTCAAGGTGTTGATCGCATTACTTAAGAACTTGATAAGTGAAACTGAAAATGTATAGACTATAAACTATAAATCATGAGTTCCTAAGAAGGAACACTTACTGGAAGATTAGCTGAAACTGCAAAGAGATCTCTTAGCATCCCTCCACCCACTCCGCCCATTCGCTGGACGGAAAATTCATTTGACAAAGCTTCTAATATTCCAGTCAATGGAGCGCCTACATGATAAAGCCCCGGGAACAAAGAAGACACACAAGTTTTTGATGTTTTAATAAGTTCTCCATCTACAAGGAACTGATATTATATAAAATTTTGCAGCCGTCACTGCTTTCTAAGTAAAATCAACAAGATGCCAAAACCATTATAGAGATCCAACTTGGACCTCAAGCTTGTATTTCAAGATAAAATATGATAAGGGAATAAAAGTACCTTGCTTAAAACCAAATACGTCTTCCCATAGTGTGGGAATTCCATCAGGTAAAACATTAAGCATTCCTAATAGAGGTTTTGACATGAAGTTGTTGACATGTGTGGCTGCGAAAATTAATTAATGTCTATGATGAACAAAGATGTACATATTTTGTAATCTTTTGCGACAAAATAAGAATCCCGCAGACCTAGCTTGTGTACCTGGATTAACCAAGATCAGAGCAAGATCAACGTTGGGATTCCTGGCTGCAACATCTAACGCAAGACATGCTCCAATAGATTCTCCAACTAAATATATTGGTCTATTTGGGAAACGGTAGTTCTCCGACTTAACTGTCCTCTCAATAAGCTTCACCAAGTCTAAACACACACAAAAAGGTTTAAACGGGATTAGCTATCTTCTCAGTTAAATAGCCATTTTGGTACTTTACAAGGGGGTTATAAAGGCACCTTTAAATGGAGTACGATCACTGACGGGAATGTGAAGGCACCATATATCAAAAATCCTATTCAAATACAAAAACTTTAAAAATAAAGATCCCTTAACATGCCAATACTTCAAAATTAAACTACCTAAAATCAAAGTTACAAAAACAGAGAAACCATACTCTTTTAGATACAGGGAATGTTAAAAAAATGGAAAAGCTAATAGAAACTTAAAAGGAAATGAATAAAACATTACTTACTCCCCAAGTTTCTTGTGATGACGAATGAGACCTAGTCCAGTACCATCGATCCCTGCAAGTTTTAGTTTTCTCAGTTTTGTTAACTTGAAAAGACTTAACATTTCAGTGTTCCATGGAAATGAAATAAAACTTCAAATCCGTAGAAACTATCCCAACTCAACCAAACTGAATTATCGGTATCGTGTCTAGGTCAAGTCCGACTAGTCCGGAGGTGAGCATGCTCTTTGCATGTTACCGCAAACTCACCCTAACTAAAGCACCCGGACCAATGCCCAAGAATCCAAGTGGTTACACGTGTATAACAACCTTGTTTGAAGTGTAATCAAGTTATCCCATCGGGAACCACATTCATTCATATTACGATAGAAAGGCGAAAGAAGTTTTATACGACGAACCAGGTAAAAAGAGGAGGAGAGGAGAGTTTGGCGCTTGAGCTCTGCATTCCAACGGAGAGAACCAACGAGGTGGACCTCCTCCATCCCCAACGAAATCTCTCGCTTCTTCCAAAAAATCCAACAAGCTTTTTCGCAAATCGGGGCGCGCCATCTCCATCTTCGAATACGGATTGTGCACCACGTTTTCATCTTTATTCTTCCGTCTCCGTCGAATACCCCTAGAAGGAGGAGGAGGAGTGGATGTTACGGATTTGATCTCCGTGAGTCGTTGCTTCGAGGCGGAGGTCCGGCGTCGTCGGAGATATGACTTCGTTGAACAGTAGGAATCAGTTACTCTTGATGAAGATGAGACGGCACAGAGACCGAAGATTGAGCGAAGTAATGTAACCCCCATTTGTGTGAGACTTTTGCCGTTTTTCTATTTGTTTATAATAAGAACACGACAAACTCGTCCAAGCAAAGATGCGCGGAAAATAAAAACATAGTTGTTTTTTATTTTTTGAAAAAGTAGTACAATTAAGTATAACCTAAAATACAATTTACAAACTAACTTTAGTTGAACTTTAATTTAGTTAGAATCAAATTTGTGTTTGAGAGAGTAATTGAGAAAGTTGTCTTTCCATCTTTCTGTATTTAATTAGTTAGAATAAAAGTCCACATTTACCACCTCTTGTCTTGCGACTTGTATGTAAGAGAGGTTATAAACACCAACAACAGTGACATTTTGGCTCTTTTTATAATTTATATACAAATTTAGACGTGCAAGTTTCCTCTTCTGAATTTCTATAAACAAAATAAAATTTACAAAACGTTAGTTGAACTTTAATCGGCAAGGTGAGCCAAATCTCACGTACAAATAAATCGATATGACACAAGATCCAAATGATTTTAGAAAACTACCTATATGTATCAAAGATCCGTTTCTTTATTAAAACATGCAGTTAAATGAAATATAGTAGTATACAAACAAATCTATATGTCAAAAATTTGAACAAGACACTCCAAAAAAGCTAGTTACTTGTTGTCCCATATATACTATACCATCCAAAAATGAAAGGACATAGTTTGTGAACAAATGTTTTTTTTCTTAGAATTACTTGATGGAAGCATGCACTTTGTGTGTAACTGGAATTATGCAGAAACGGAAACAAAGGAATTTTAGGGGAAGTGTTGGATATATGATAGAGTTTCATCACTACAAATCTTTCTAACATAGTTAGAGAAAATTCAAAAACAAAACTCAGATGGAGGGAGATTGGAGACAAGTTGTCTAAGACCACCAAATCCCATGTCTTTGCATTTACATAAAAATTTGGACTATATTTGGTGGTGGGAATGAGCCATATCCGTGCAATAATATAAGCAACGCTTAGACCACTTGTGAAAACTCAGATAAGCTATTTTAATGTGAGTTTCTAACTTAAAAATAGCGTATCATGTGAACCAATAGTCCATATATCAGATATTAAATTGATAAAATCAGATACTATACTTGATCTTAGCCAAAATGCTGAGAAATGTATGAATAGTGAGAGAGAGCAACCTCTATTTTAACATAAATAACTAACAATTATGTGATAGGTTTTAGCCCAACTCAAAATTAATCACATGTGAGGCTTTAGCCCAATTCAAAAATTAGCCCACAATATATCCTCAGTCGTACCAGTGAATAATATTTGTGTAAACTTTTATTGCAACGACAAGATGATGACATTCGAACCAAATCAAATCTCAACAATTGGAAATGAAAAAGATATGGATCGGATGACAGAAAAGAGAATCGAAGACTTTCAAATGAGATTCCACAATGTCCTAAAAAAAATATGCCAAAAAGTATTATGACTCTTCTTTAATGTAATGGTCAAACCTTTTTATACCCAATAGTGGTTATATGATAAAAATGTAACATATCACACAAATTTCCTAATTTGGATTTTTAAGGAAAAATAAACTTTCATTTTAAATTAGAGAAATAGTCGAGAACCACTTGAGTCACTTGAGCATACCATAAGGCGGAAGCATCAATTTAAGGAACATAATTTTACACATGGCACTAGGGTAAAAGGGACCGAATATGTATTCGATTAGCTACGTGTAATTTGAATTGTAGTACAAAAAGTACAAAGAAAACGTATGCAAAGTAGTGAGAATAATAAGTTAATAACCACTAAATAAATTGAGAACATTTTATCAACCACAATGAGTCACGTGTGTATATATTAGTTGAAATGTCGTTTTTAATATTAAGTCTATAGTATATCATTGAGCTTTTAAACTACCTATGCATCTATATAGATATTTCATAATTATATCAAAACTTAACGTTATTATATTTCAAAATATGTTCGGATTCATAAAATTTAAACAATTCTTTCAGACAGAATGAACTAAACACGTCTAAAGTTGCATTTAATTGTTTATATATGTGTGTATATATAATATACAACATCTAAGATGATCGAGAACGTTATATATATATTAACTCTTAAACCCACCAATGAAAAACGATACAATTTAGTGAATGAACCGACAAGAAGATTATGTTAGTGACCCGAAAAATTGTCCGATATTTGAAGGAGCATATTCCCGTGATGGAGAATATAAAGTTGACTACATTTATCCCATGCAAAAAGAAAAGAGATAATTTTAGAAATCGATATGATAGGCATATATTCCTTCTCAACTCTCGAGTCTCGAGGGTTATAAAAAGAGAGCACATGCATGTATGGAATAAGGCAAAAACATATAGAGAGTAATGAAGTGTATGATGAAGAAGAGAGGTCTAATAACATGGCGGAAAGCGTCATGTTTAGTAGCCAAGGATGACTTGCCTGATCTTTTTCGCCTCCACGATTCAATTTCAAATTCATGCATTTTGGATTATTATACCTTTTAAAGTATAATAGGTCAAATATCATGTTGAATCTTGCGGGTTAGGTTTCAGGCAGTCTCTTTGGCTATCTTGACATGCTTTTTCCATCCATGTTATACCTACTTTTCTTTCTGTCTTCAAAATCACTATAAAATTTACACTTCAGAAACTTTCATTCTTTGTTAAAGTGTTAAATTTCAAAAATGTCAAATTTTCGCAGTTGGTTTCAAAAGTTTTTGTTATAGTATATGAAAGTGAGTGTATACATTATTTAGAAGGAGAAGTCAAAGATGAATAGAAGAATCATATTTGGTAGCCAAGGATGACTTGCCTGTTTCTTTGAGTAAAATGGGTTAGTGTCATGTTTGACAAGTGACTATAAGTTATATCAAGCAATGACCATTTTACTCATCAAAAGACATCAGGCAGTCTCCTTGGCTATCCTTATATGTTCTTCTCTCTCATCTCAGACGTTTACCTTCATTCAAAATAAGATGGACATGACAAGAAAAATCATTGAGAGATAATGTTCATGATTTCGAGGCTTTTTGCATATATATATGTATGTCGTGCATTTTGCGCATACATCAATATATATATATATGTATACATGAAAATCAAGCGATTGTGGAAGAACATGGATCATTCGAAATTGCATGGTATTTGGTGTTCATATCATGGAAAGGTAAATATATATGTGAGAACTGCCTTTATTTGCCACGTCTCGTCTCGCATCTTCGAGCGGAAATTCAATGTTTTATTTGGGCTTCCTCGAGCTTACTCACAATAAGACCGGATTGCGTTATGTTCTCCTCAACGAGGGAGTTCGTCAGAGCGATCAATTCTTCAGAGAAAACGTTGTCTTTTCAATATATTGTAGGGACGAATGTAAATGGGGTTTAAAACAAATTTGTAAGAAGTGTTAAAAAAGAAGGCCGTCACCAATCTTATATTCAAAAAGACGGTCCCTTCTACAAAATGCTTTCTTCAGAGGCTTCAAATTAAATGGTAGGAGAAGAGGCTAACTTGTTTTTATTTCTCTGTTGGGACACAATTACGTTTTATCTTGGCTTCCTTAAGGCTGTATTTGATTTAGTAAATTGAAGATGACAAAACTATTATATAATACCAGTTTTGTTTGATCAATAATCTTAGTTAAATTTTTAAAAAGTTCTGAAATCTAAATCGGTGACATAGATCTTACAAAAGTAAAATCTTGAGCATGAAGTCTAACGTTACAAACTAAACAATCAACCTTGAACTTCAAACGCATCAAATGTAAGAGAACAAATAAAAATAATTTATTCTTGATCTTCATGAATTCATGTATTTGCTTTGAGAAGGCAAACTAATAGCCAGTGGGAAGACGTCATTTTTACTAACTCGAAAATTCATCGATTTTTTTTTCTTCTATTGCTCTAATATACATGTTATTGGACAAAACAAAAAAACTGAAAATTGTTCTACAGACTAAAATTGTTATAAAAAAAATTCCGGACCGGTGCCAGTGAATAATATTAATGAAAACTTAAGAAAAGGACATAATGATATCCAAACCAAATCAAATCACATTCTCAAGGGTCCTAGTGAAAATGATATGAAAAATAGAGAATCGACTACTCTAGAATATGTGCAATATCCAAATTACGGTCTTCTGATTCTATCATTTGATGGTCAAAACTTTTTATATCCGAAAGAGGTGATAGAGAAATGCAACATATCATCAAAATTTCCGATTTTGGACTTTGAAGGAAAACTACTTTAAATTTGAAATTAGAGAAAAAGTAAATTGCCCATACCATAAGGCAGAAGCATCAATTCGAAGGAACATATACTTTTTTTAGACATTCCACTTAGATAGAAGGGAGTAGGGACCGTATATATACTCGATTACTATTATTAGAATTTGAACTTAGATAAAAGGGACCGTATGCATGCAAAGTTGTGAGAATAAAAACAATATGAAATAAATTGAAACATTTTAACCACAATGTGTTAACCCATGTACATGTTGAAAAACCTTTTTATCGTTAGCCAATATTTTATTAGGTTTTAAACTTTCTATTAATCATATATATGCTGTTCTATAAATCATAAACTATTAAATCCAAACTTAACATTATATTTAAAGATATGTTCGAATTTACAAACTGAAACATGTGTTTCATACTGATTCAAATAGCCACATCTAAATCTGCATTTGATTCACCGATTTAATTAAAGTCACATAATATGTACATTGTTTTATTTTATGTAGAGTTGTTACATTGTGGAAACGCTTACACCCACAAATCAAATGCGATGTATAGTTTTGTGAATTAACCGACAAGAATATTATCTTAGTGACCCGAATCATGGTCCATTTAAAGGAACATATTCCCGTGTTAAAGAATTCAAAGTTGACTATATTTATCCCATGCAAAAAGAAAGAGATAAATATTGAAATCAATATGCATATATTCCTTCTCTCAAGGGTTATAAATAAAACGAGAGCACATGAATGTAAGGCATGAGACATAAAGAGAGTTAAATATAATGAAGAAGAGAGGTCTAATATGGCGAAAAGAGTCATGTTTAATAGCCAAGGATGACTTGCCTGATCTTTTTCACCTCCATGATTCAATTTTAAGTTCGTGGATTTTGGATTATTATGCGTTTAAAAGGTATAATAATTTGAGATCATGTTGAATCTTGCGGGTTAGGTTTCAGGCAGTCTCTTTGGCTATCTTGACATGCTTTCTTCATCCATGTTATACTTATTTTTCTGTCTTCCGAATCACTAGAAATTCACTTTAAAAAAGTTTCAATCATTGTTAGGGTGTTATGTTTTGAAAATGTCAAAATTCTGCCTTTGGTTTCTAAAGCATTTTCATAGTTTATGTGGCTGAGTCTACACATTATTTAGAAGGAGATGTCAAAGATGAATAGGAGAACAATATTTGGTAGCCAAGGATGACTTGCCTGCTTCTCTGAACAAAATGGTCGATGTCATGTTTTGAAGTGACTATAAGTTATACCAAGAAATGACCATTTTGTTTATAAATAGACATCAGGCAGTCTCCTTGGCTATCCTTATATGTTCTTCTTTCTCAACTCAGATATTTACCTTCATCCAAAATAAGATAGACATGACAACAAATATAATGGTGAGCGAATGTTGACGATTTTTGGAGGCTTTTTGGATGAATATATAGCATATATTACATTTTGCGTATACATCAATATTTATATGATTGGATCGACTCGAATGAGTCTTGCCATGAAGCTTCATGGAAACTTCCTCTTAGGGTATGGTTCCGATGCAGCGCACCTTGATATATAGTCACGTTTCATTACAGGGTATTGTTCTTTATAGGTCTATTTGAATTGGATTTTGAAGTGTTTTATATATGTTTCATCTAATCTTCTTCCTAAAGTTAGGGTTTTAGATTCTTCCTCTGAATATCTAAGTGGTTGTGAGTAGTAGAGTTTATTAGCTTTGATTATTTTAATGTATGAAAAACAAGAGCATTCGAATGTAAGAAAAAAGGGATATATATTACCACAATAAATTTTGTATCAAACTCATCACTTGACCGTTGTGATCATTGGATCAACGAACCCCGGACCTTTCTTACGTTTACGTTGTGCCAGGATCAAATGAAACCTAAGATCCGCGTGGAATGTAAATTGGAATATGTAGTTCTACGTGGTATTTCGTGATCACACTATGGAAGGTAATTTTCCATAGGGGAAGTCATGAAAAACATCATCATAACTTTGGCCAAAAGTTTCTAAGAAATCACTCTAATTCAAATCGATCAACTCAACCCTAACAAAATTTAACCCAAGTGCTCATAAAACCCTAACAAAATTTTACTGGAGGAGGCAAAAGAGAAAGATAAAGAGAGAGAAGGTTGACGTCATTGAACGGCGAACCGAGCATCGACAATGGTTTGGGGTTTCAGGCCAGCGAAAAAAAAAAAAAAAGAATCTGTAGAATTTAAGAAGAAGAAGAATTTGGAAATGAGAGCGAGAGTGACAAAGAGTGATAGAAATTAATAAAATCCAATATTAGATCCAGGGTGTATAATCGCAGGAAGAGACTGAAGGGATAAAAGAGAGTTAAGGAGAAGAAAATAATCTTTGTAAAAAGGATGAATCGAGAAAGAGAGTGAAGAGGTAAACCTGAGAAAGAGGATGCATAAGAGATATAGAAATTAGGGTTTGATTTTTAATTTGAGCTTTTCCTTATTTTTTTGGCTAAGTGTTGGCCGTATGGGAAAGAATTTCGTTAAATATTGGTGGTTCAAAGTGATTTTAGTTTTATCTATATGATTATAAAGCTTATCGTTTTTGAAAAGTTATAATATAGTTACGAAAATTTGATTAACACCTTTAAAAGCAGTTATGAAAATTGTGCTATCGTAATTTTTGAACCAAACAAATTATAGCGTTTACGTATTCATAAACGCTATCCAAAATGCAAGCTTAAGTCTAATACAGTAGAACCACACCCATTGCTATCTTCTAATACTAAGAATACTAACTATTGTTGTAGTGAAAAAAAAAAGACTTTTGTAATACATACATAGCCAGCATGACACCCTCCTCTAGAAACAAAGCACCAAAGAAACGGAGACAAAAGAAGGGCCAAGAACCTACAGAAAACAGCTCATGGGACGAATAAGAGAGCTAAGCACTAAAACTGAAATACTGAGCCAGAAGGTTCCCACCAAAAATTCTAACGAATCTATGAACGCTGGATATAGCCGAATAAAATCAGGTGTGCACATAACCGAAGTCAAACCAGCAACAGTACACGAGAAGAACAAAAGTAGGACCCAAAAGGCCAAAACGAAACTAGAGAACAGAAACTACAAGTCTTCTGATGCTCTAATATACATGTTATGATTCTTTTTTTTTTTATGAGAGATAAATATATATGTCATTGGAAAACAAGTATTTGAACATTTTTCTACAGATTACGCTTGTTACAATTTTTCCGAGACGTGGTAGTGAATAATATTTGTGAAAACTTAGTAAAGTGACATGATGTTATGATGATGACATTCGAACCGAATCAAATCTCAACAATCGGTGGTGAACAAGATATGGATGATAGACAAGAGAATCGACTACTTTTGAAAATGAATAGGCCTGGATTGATTCGGCAATGTCCCAAATACGGTATTCTTTCTTTAATTTAATGGTCAACCCTGTCATTCTATCAATATCCAAAAGAGGTAATACAAAAATGCAACCCATCATAAAACATTTCCTATTTTAGAATTTTAAGGAAAACGATTTTTAATTTTTTAATTAGAGAAAAAGTGAAGAACAACTTGCCCATACCATAAGGCAGAAGCATCAATTCAGAGGAACATTGTTTTACGCATTGCACTAAGATAAAGGGAACAAATATATATACTCGATTTAACATTATTGTATTTCAACTTAATTGTGAGAATAAAAAGCAATATAAAATAAAATGAAAACATTTTTTTATCAACCACAATGAGTTAATCCACGCATATATATTTGTTGAAAAGATTTTTATCTTTAGCCAATATGTATATTTCGATTTTAATTAACTATCCCTTTAATAATATTCAGGTTTAAAATATCTGCGATTCTATAAATCTTTAGCTATTCTATTCAACTTAAACATTAAACTATTCTATTCAAAAGATAATTGTTTCATACTGATTGATATAGCCACATCTAAATCTGCATTTGGTTCATCGATTTAATTGAACTCACATAAAATGTACATTGATTTATTTTATAAAAACAAAATCTATATGATTCGACAATGTAAAATTTCGTCTACATTGTGGAAACTCTTAAACCCACCATTCCATCAATGTACTGCGATATTATATTTTGTGAATGAACCGAAAAGAAGATTGTCTTAGTGGACCCCTAAAATGGTCCATTTAAAGGAACATATTCCCGTCATAAAGAAAAGTTGACTATATTTAGCCCATGCAAAAAGAAAATAGATAAATTTAGAAATCTATATGCATATATTCCTTCTCAAGGGTTATAAAAAGAGAGCACATCCATGTGAGGAATGAGGCAACACATATTGAGAGTAATAAAGAGTATAATGAGGAAGAGAGGTCTAACATGGCGAAAAGAGTCATGTTTAGTAGCCAAGGATGACTTGCCTGATCTTTTTCACCTCCATGATTCAATTTGTAATTCATGGGTTTTGGATTATTATACATTCAAAAGTATAATAATTTGAAATCATGTTGAATCTTGCGGGTTAGGTTTCAGGCAGTCTCCTTGGCTATCTTGACATGCTTTTTTCATTCACGTTATACCTGTTTTTCTTTCTGTCTCCATAGTCACTATAAATTCTCTTCAGAAAAAAAAATTCAATCTTTGTTAAGGTGTCTCCTGGGTTGAAAATGTCAATTTTTTTGCATTCGATTTATAAAGCATTTTTTTTTAATAGTGTGTTTGTGAGTGTACACATTATTTAGAAGGAGATGTCAAAGATGAATAGAAGAATCATATTTGGTAGCCAAGGATGACTTGCCTGACTCTTTGTGTAAAATGTTTAGTGTCTTGTTTGAAGTCACTATAAGTTGTATCAAGCAATGACCATTTTGCTTATAAAAAAGATATCAGGCAGTCTCCTTGGCTATCCTTATATGTTCTTCTCTTTCATCTCAGACATTCACCTTCATACAAAATTAAAGAGGCACGACATGAATGATCATGGAAAGAGACAATGTTGATGACTTTGAGCTTTTTGCATATTGTCTATATATATGTAATACATTTTACGTTCATGGAAGCTGTTTAAGACAAATATGTTCTATATCAGACATATAGACGTAAATTTAGCTAATGATAACTGAAATTCAAATTTCTTTGACATTGTTAGTGGCAACACTTGACGTGAAAGACTTTTTCTGATTATTGACATACATCTTCCTATGTTTCTAACAAAACTTTGAAGTCTTTTGGTTTTGTGCGTAGTGGTCAAGTCGTGTCGCATTTGTTTGATTTATATAACATAGTTTCTTTACACCAAATGTTTTGTTAAAAGTTACATCAAAAGATATCCGTATGTGACAGTTAATTTAACATCCATCAAATGTTATGATGCATGACCCTACACTAACAGTTTTGGCATCATAGATCATTATTGATGTTATCTTAAGATCTGATGATTGTGATTTTGGATGCAAAGATTGGTAGGTAGATTTGAATATCCGGTTTACAATTTCAAATATGTTTTGATCCGATCCAACTACAAAATGTACTTCAAAAAATAACGTGTGATTCAAAAACTCAAATTTTTGTTGCAGCGATGAAATTCTTGATGCACCTTCACCGGATTACTGATCAGTATTATAACATGAGACCTTAAATAGTAATGTTGTACATAATGTAAATATTATCTCTTGTGTTCTCCAAGTTAATCTGTATGAAAACAAATCCAACAGCTGAAAATGACCGTGTAAATTGCCTGTTTTTCTTACGGGCCTTCTGAATTGGGGCCATAATAGGCTTCTTCCTACAAAAACCTTCAGACAAAGGAGTGTCAGATTTGTATCTTATTTACGACCAACATTTGGTAAAATTTTCATTAAAAAGATACTCAATAATCAAATATGTAACAGTTAAAAACTTAAAATAACATCCTACGGAAACAGTTTTAGCATCATAGAATAGAACATATTATCTTATGCTTTGATGATTGTTCATTGTTGGCTAGATTTTGACCTCACCAGTCTCGGTGATTTCATTATTGTGACGTTACCATTAAAATTGGTAACATCAAAAATTCAAAATGATATTTAAAAATACAACGAAAACTATTAAAACATTGGATTAGGGAATTAAGATACTTGTAAGTCTCAAATCTATGATTACTTGATTCTATTAACATATTACATTATGTACATGTTTTTTTCTTTATTGTGTACATTCTTGTTTCCTAGCAAGGTAAATCTAAAAAGCTTAGAAAAATAAGACAAACCGTAGCACTTTGTAATAACTTGAAAAAAGAAACCAATAAATCAACGGAGGAAAGTCAAAAACAAAAACAGAATGGCTTTCACAGAAGAATCAGTTCTTGTCTTAATTTAAAGAAAACAAAAAGTACACCTAATTCGGGAAAGACACACTAACGGAAGACGACCAATCAGAACCAGTTTGGTCTGAAAAGGACTTAGAGAATCCACACAAATGGCGGCGCATCCATTCTTGTCCCAACCACAGTCCGGTACAGATACAACTTATCCACTTTCTGCCTCCCCTCGTGTCCGTTTTCTTCCATCCGGTTATTATCATTCTCGTTTATGATCTCTACATTGAGCCATGGCGCTTTCTCTGCGAGCCTTTTGCATCCACTGAGTGTGACTTCACATGAAGACATCCAAAGGGATCGCATTGTTTCATACTTGCTCACATCAGCAAGAAGCGCCGTGTCCCCAAACGGACTATCCCTTATCTCTAGTTTCTTCATCTTTTTGCAACCATTCAACACATATAGCATGCCTTTGTCTGTATCTCCTGCAAAGGCTATGGAGAGCATCTCGAGCTGATTCGCGTACATTCCGATGTAGAGGAAGACTTGGTCTGTAAGGAGACCTGAGAGAGAAAGCCTTCTCAGGCTCTTGCAGGCTTTGACGATTGCTCCAAAGCCTTCGTCTAGAGGTTGAGATGTGACGTGATCGGGTTTGTTTGGCTCGAGGATGCAGAGTCGGAAACGGATGAAATTTGGACAGTTCTTGGCAACGGTTACGAGAGCTGCGTTTGTCATTTGTTGGCAGAAGTAGAGTATAGAGTGGAGCTTAGGGCAGCCTGCCGAGATGGCAACTAGACCTTCTTCGGTCACAGCTGTGTTGCCTCCACCGAGTAAATCAGATGGAAAAACCCTAAGCTCTTGTAACTCTTTACATGTAGAAGCTACAACTTCAAGCCCTTTGTCACCTATACTATCCAAAATCTACAAGAAAACATTGAAGCCATTACGTATAAATCTATCTGCTCGGTTCATATATACACTTTAGGAAACATTCGCTTACCCATAACCGCTGAAGTTTCTTGCAATGCTGAATAAGCTTAATAAGGTGGCTACCATGAATCTCAGCTGCGTAACTAAGATTCAAGGAGGTGAGGTTATGACATATTGGGTGGAAAGCTGAGAGACAGTGAGGAGCAGCCTCTAGAAAACCCGACAAACTCCTCAACGAGGTGCATTTCTTTATGACAGCCATGAGTTTCAAGTAAGACTCGGAATCTGGGTCATTCTCATAAGACCCTACTCCTAAGTCAACTATCTGCGGCGCACACGCCATTAACCTTGCGAGTGCATCTAACGGTACTGCACGATTTAGCTTCAGACTCTTTAGGTTTGGAGACCTAGCAACAAGCCTCTCTAGAGCAACCAGATTAGTTTCTCCTTCGAGGCACGCAAAGTTTAGCGTGACAAGAGTCGTGCAAGTGTCTGGGAAACAACTTAACCATTGACCTCTATGATCATCGATTTCATTCTCTTGCAAATCAAGATCCCGAAGATGCCTACAAAGAAGAAAGAATTGTAAAACAGAGTTACAGACCTAACACAATAATAACACTCAGCAAACACTACTACATTTGTAACACACAACCAAAAGGAACCATTGCAATAACTAAACTGTTTATTCCACCTATTTTCTAAGTAAATCGGATATTATTGTTCGACCAAAAGCTAGATTTGCGTCTTTTTAGCCATATTAGGAAGCAAGTGTGCAATGATATGTAAACCACAATGAAACATAGCATCTATAGTCACATATAAAACCTAATCTTACAACACAAGGAACAATTTTTATAACACACAAGAAAAAAGTGATACCTGCAATTAGCGGCAATAGAGGCAAGACCATCAGTGGTAAAACCTTCACAGCTAACAAGGACCAAAGACTTAAAATTGACAAAAGAACGAGAAAGCAGCTCAAGACTCTCATCAGTAACAACCATCCTCTTCAACCTAAGCTCTTCAAGTCCTACACGGCTTCTAGCCAAAGCCTCAATCCAAGGTAGCACAAAACCTCCCCATTCATGAGGAACCAAATTGAAATCCGCAAAATGAGGTTTTCCTTTCAAAGTCAAAGACTTTAGACATGGGAATCTCCGAAGCAACCTCTCTGGATTAATGGCATAACAGTTTCCAATGAAAACCTTTTGCCTACTGTATCTTTCAATCTTGTACCATGATTTGCATACAAGAGATATAGCATTCCTGTCTTTGTGAGATGTTACAAAGTCGAATACATGCTCTATTACTTCATCTGGGAAATAATTCATCTCTAACTTCACCAGCAAGATTCCAAATTCAACAGATCTTGAACTTGAGTTTGACTTAGACCATAGGAACTCAAGAACACAGAGATGGATTAAAGAAGTGAATTCAACAGATCTATAGATCTAGAGAGTAAAAAACAAAAACTAGATCTATGAAGAACAAGATTCAAGAAGAAAGAACTCGAATCAATATATGAGAAAAAAAAATGAACAAATTCTCAAAAAAAACTGTGATGATTACAAAAGAAGAAAACGTTGACAATGATCGAAGGAGAATCAAATAATAGATCTGTAGAAGAAGAATCAGAAAACCATAAATAGAAACTTTGTTTAGTTTCTTGAAACGAAAAAAAGAAGGAAAAAAAAATCAAGAAGCTAATGATGATGAGAATGATGATGAAGAAGATTGATGAGAGAGGAGATCACGCAACCAAAGCAAAGCAAAGGAACCAGAAAGAAGAAGAACAAAACTCTCTCTCTCTCTCTATTCTCTTTCTTCTGGCTTCTTGGTGACTTTGGTAATGGAGAAAAATAAAAAGTCTTGAAGGACATCAGAGAGGCCCCTACCTGGCTGACCGAAACAAACCGTGGTTAAAGAATGAACCGTGGTTAGGTTTGGAGATGATCTAACGGTGGGGAATGGTTTGAAGGAGAAGAAGAGGAGATGGATCTTGACCGTTGATGGGAAATGGCATGCATGTGTCCTAATCACTGGTTACGAGGCCATTCTCGCCAAAGAGAGAAAAAAGAGAAGGTGATGTAGTAGTGTCAGACTTGAGAGAGATTTTGTAATTGACCTTGGTTTTATGGTTTAATTACGGAATTATGCCATTGTTGTCTTGTGGGCGAGTAAGAGAGATTTATGTACTCGCAGAAATAAAGTCATTAAGTAGTAGTTCGTTAATAATTATCAATTATTCAACTAATTTATGTGATTAAAGATTGATTAGTTATTATTTAAAGAATGTTAACCATTCACTTACCTACGTATTGGCTATTGGTAATGTTTTCTTAAACCACAAAATTAAAAATTTTATTTACAAAAAAAAAATTCATTGTCCAATCCAAAAAAAAGTTTATAAAAATAACATTAGCATACATTGATCTTAGATATGCTAAATTAATGTTGTAAAACATATCATAGAGCAAACTAAATTCATCTAAAAATTGGCCAAAGCAGGAACAAATTCTACGCAGTCCATCTAAAATTATTGTTAATTGATTATTTAAACGAAGATGTTTGTTATATTCATAACAAAGTTTTATTTCCGAGTGAAGCAAGGATAAATTTCATATTTTGACATTTGACATTTTAAAACACTATTTGGTTAATTATCTTTAAATATATCCGAAATGAAATAGAA